ATACTTATATATATATATATATATTATGTATATTTTGTGTGTACATACACCTATTTTGCATTATATCTCAGGACTGTAAAAACCAAAAATTTAAAAATTTGGCTGAGTTATTTCTATAATGTATTCCCACTGATAGTTGTTTGAAAAACACTGCAGTAAGGAAATAGAAGCAAACTTTTCCTAATAGTGGCACGCCTATTTTTTTTTATCAATGTAAAGTTACTGCAATTTAGTATTTTTAGTAATGTATGTAAGAAGTGTCATTCGATTTTTATGTTCCTGACAAGGCCTTTCAAAATAGCTGAAAATGTTAGAAAATTGAATTAAAAGGCTGCATTATAAAGGTTTCTGTGTCGATGCTTGAGTAGTGTTAAGGCATTGTTCAGCATTATATTATGCTGCACCTGGGTTCACCAATGGTCAATAAATCACTGAACTGTAGTTGGACACAGGTTCCTGTCACACAGTTTTCTGGGTTTTCTTTGTGTGTGTAATACATAAACAGAGCCAGTCTCTTATAAAAAATTCTTCCCAGATGGCACTCCTTGACAAAGAGTTGTATTTCTTTTCTATCAATCCACTTTGCAGCATCCTTAAAATGTTGTCATTACACTCTGACTGAAAACTACTTCCTTACTGTTACACTTAAACATTTATATACACACAAATGTTGTACTCTAAAAATCAGTAAAAAATTCAATTTTATTTTGTTATACTATAACAGTTTTGAATAATAAATAAGCAACATATAAGAAATGAGCAATTATTTATTATGATATCATCACAATGCATGGTTGATTTTTAATTTATTTAATTTAAAATACATGCTCTCCACATCACATTAGTATTGTCTTACCCCTGTACATCATACTTTCCTGCTAGCAATAGAGTTGTGCTGGTCATCTGTCTAACTCCTTTCAGGGAAAATTTTTTAATTGAAATAATGTAACTTTTGACGCAAATTGGAAGTTTGTATATAGTTAATCAGGGCCTCCTGCCCCCAAACTTTCCATATCTGGTTGACTTTCATCTATCTAACTCCATTCTCAAGATCGAAGACAGACAGACAGACGACAGTGGAAATTTATAGGTCTACAATTTGAAAAAAATTGTAGACCTATAATAATAAGCAAAGAAATACAAATTAACTAATGACTTATTGTTTTGCCACTTAATTTTAATAGATTTGTTAATTTAAAACTTAAAAAATGTTGAAAAATACTATATATGTAATCCAGTAAATAAAATCCTCAGTCAGAATTTAGCATGTAAAAATATAAAATTGTTTCATAAATTAAAACAAAGGAATAAAATTATTTGCAATAAATATATCTATACCATATTGAATTTCTTATTTTCAATAATTAACTTAAGAGAATCTGATTAAGATGAGTGTATTTGGAAATAAACTATAAATTTCTAGTTGACATCTGAAATACTTTCTTGTATAAGCTATCTTAGATCCAAAATAAAATTATACATTTAAAGTGATAATGATAATAGTTACAAAATGTTAAACATTTTCAGTGATACTGTAAAAGAATAAAGGAAGATTTTAACTTGAAAATAGGCAAAAGTATTTGTTTTAGTAGACATTAATAGATATTTACTTGAACACACTAATCAAAATCAGAGTTTGATTATTATTACAGTGGTGCCTAGTACTTCAAATTTGATTCATTCCAGATCAGACCAGTAAATACACATAATTTGTGTTATTTTTGCTAATAAATTAAAACACGAAATCAATAAATAAAATACACAAAATATGTATATAATAAAATAAAAATTGCATTTATTGGTCACCCATGATAGACTTCTGATTCAAATTTTAAAGTGTTCAAAGTACGAGATACCACTGTATATTATTATTAATATTAAAATAATTTTTGTCTTTTATTTTTAAACCATTCTTTTATAAACAGTTTAAAACATTGATTTTGCAATTTAGAAATTTTGAAAAAGTTTCATAATTAACATTTAAATTATTTTAATCTCCTCAAGTAGAATGCATACTTTAGTCAAGATAACTTGATGACGTATCTTTTTTTTTTTTAGTTGTATCAAATTAGAAAATATACATTTTACAAAAAAAAAAAATATTTTCTTGACTTATTCTAAATGTTTTGGGACTAAATCATCTATATTGTCATCTACTTTATAACACACTTTAATCATATATATCATCATTCAAACAATTTCACATATTTAAGACACATGAAATTATATTGGGTAATGATATGAATAATACATTCTAAAACAGCACTACTCAAACTGTGGTCTGCAAAGTTTATTTATTACTGGGCACTAATAAGATTTCACTTGAAATTTCATAATTTTATATATTTTGTTAATACAGTAGAGCGTCGTTTATCCGAAAGAATTCCAGTCGACAAATTTAAATTTTCGCTAGTGCTGTGGTGCTGTAATCTTTGGCTGTCTTGGGCTACTCAAATATTTTANAATTCAAAACATTAAAATATTTTACATGTTTTGAATTTAATAAATATATATTATAATTTACTAATTTAACAAAAAAAAAAAAAATGTTAGAAACTTCTTTAGAATATAAAGTTGTTTGAATTCTTTAGTGATTTTTTAATAAGTTTTTTTGTTAAAGGCTCTATAAATATTAAATCTTCAGTTGTATTGTATGTTCTTTTATATCTATATTCAAAAGGTATCAATTTTCAATGATGGATCAATGTTTATAAAAATTTTAAATTTCTACACTTCTAGAACATAATGCTTTCTCTCATTATTTTATATGTATAACATATTTTTTTTAAGTTAAATAAATAATAAAGGAAAGGTCAGGTCACCAGGAAATTACCATTTGTGTAAATTTTACAAATGAAAAAAAAAGAAGGAAAAAAAAAGTATTTTTTATCTTTACCTTAATCATACTTTCAAATTTAAAGTATATTCTAAAACTTATCATAGTCACTCTAACCAAGCAATAAAGGAAAAATTTTCTTATTTCTGTTTGGATGTTTTTGAGCAAATTAATGTTTGTGTCATCAGCATTGTGTTATTCTCACTTATTATATCAGATGTTTTGATAAGCTAGAAGCTTACAATTATTATTTGATTGTTGCTATATGATACTGATTAAGTATTTATACTTGAAATGTTTTTTCAATAAAAGTAAAAAAATTGCTTACATTCAACAGATATTATACTTCTATTACTACATATCTCTTATAATGAATATACTTGAAGCTTTAAATGAATTGTCTAGAGTTTGAAGATTTTTTGTGAAAGCATTTTCTTTTTGAGTTGTATTAGATGAAGTACTGAGTTTCTTCTTTGATTTATTATTATTATTTAAAGATATGTCTTCTAATGAAGTTTCATTATGTTCAATATACCGAAGTTTTTCCAGTGAACAATGAAACAAATGAGTTTTAATATTACTAGTGTTTAATAATTTATCTTCTGAATTAGACTGAAATGACTCAGAGGATGGAACTTTTGAAGTAGGTAAAACTGGAGATTTCTCTGGTGAAGCACAAACAGATATAATAGTAGGTGACAATGTTTTACCTTTTCCTACATTATATTTAGGTGATTTATTTTCAGCTGTATATTGTGATGTCGATTTTAAAGTATATCTTTTATCAACAAATGATTTTCTAGCAGTTCTAGTCATAGGTGTACTTTGTAAAACCTTGTTGACTTCTGGAGATGATGAATTAGATAAAATTGTCTGTCTGTTATTATTTCCATTAGGACTGAGAAATGGTTTAATGGATGTAGATTCTTCTTGAGAAGGTTTTTCAGATTTTTTATTTGAATTATTTACATTTTTCAATCTATCTTCACATAAATGTGTTTCAGGTTCTTTAATATTTAATTTACAGTATCTATCTGTAGCTACTTTATCTACAATAATAGATAATTTTTTTGGACTTACATCATAATAAATAGAAGAATTTGATAAATTATCATTGTAAAGATTTTCACTAGATGTTTTTTGTGTAGAAGTAGTAGTAGTAGTAGTAGTTTCATGCTTATTACTTATATCAACTTCAAAGGAATCATCATTTGAAGATAACTTCGAACTATTACTCAGTTTCCTCTTTCGTTGTGGCCTCTCATTATGTAAAGGAGAAATGCTATTATCATCTGTTGTAGAAGATAATGTTTCATTACAAAGTTCACTGGTATTGCTAAATAGCTTCTTTGGTCTTCCCCGTGGTCTCTTTGTCGGAGACAATTTTTTGGATGAAGCAGAAACTGAACTTTGATTAGAATCTGTAAAATTATTGGAATTGATATTTTTATCTTCCAAATAATTCAATTTTTGTTGCAAAGAAAGCTGATTTTTGACTGAATTATTATCATCAGTTTGATCTTTTGTTTCATCTCCTGATACTACTTTCTTATAGTCATTTTCATCCTTTTTTTTGTTGTTAGAATTCTTTTTTCCTGGTGGTCTACCACGTGGTCTTTTAACAGTACTAGCACTAGAATTATTAGCCAATGTAGTTGATTTAGAACTTAACTTTGTTCCCTCTGCTATCTGAAATTTTCTTGGCCGTCCAGGAGAACGTTTAACTAATTGTTTTGAAGAAATAAGTCCATCATTAATTGTTTGTTTGGTGGCTTCTTTCACTGCCTTATTTTCTTTTTCACTAAAATTTAAAATAAAATGAATTATTTAAATAATTCACTAAATATATCAAGCATTATTAAAAAACATTATTCATATGCATTATTAAATTATTTTATTACAATTTTATTTAAAGTTAAGTATTAATATTACTTTAAGATATTCCATTCAGTATTTCTTAATTACAAAATTAAAAAATCTTAGATAATTTCTAAAAAAATTACTGATTGTTTTTTTTAATAAACGAACTCAATATTTGTAAAAGCAAAGATAGACATTTCGTACATTAATAATAATGTCCACACTAATAGTTATTTAAAAGATGTTTTTCTTTGAGATGCTCTTGTATATGTTACTTCTGAGACATAGATAAGTAGAACATTTTAAATCAGATAATTCTTATTACTTTGCTAATTCTTAAACATTGCTAATGTTGAAATCATAAGAACAGAGCAAATAAACTTTCTAATAGAACTATCGTTAAAACTATTATTCTGCTGTTAATTATAAATTACATTTAACTAATTTTTAATTTTATAACCTTCTCTTAAATAATATTGCAATTAAACAATAATTTTTCCCAATGCTTTTTAAACTTGATTGTTTTCTAATTAAATTCAAAACATTAAAATATTTTACATGTTTTGAATTTAATAAATATATATTATAATTTACTAATTTAACAAAAAAAAAAAAAATGTTAGAAACTTCTTTAGAATATAAAGTTGTTTGAATTCTTTAGTGATTTTTTAATAAGTTTTTTTGTTAAAGGCTCTATAAATATTAAATCTTCAGTTGTATTGTATGTTCTTTTATATCTATATTCAAAAGGTATCAATTTTCAATGATGGATCAATGTTTATAAAAATTTTAAATTTCTACACTTCTAGAACATAATGCTTTCTCTCATTATTTTATATGTATAACATATTTTTTTTAAGTTAAATAAATAATAAAGGAAAGGTCAGGTCACCAGGAAATTACCATTTGTGTAAATTTTACAAATGAAAAAAAAAGAAGGAAAAAAAAAGTATTTTTTATCTTTACCTTAATCATACTTTCAAATTTAAAGTATATTCTAAAACTTATCATAGTCACTCTAACCAAGCAATAAAGGAAAAATTTTCTTATTTCTGTTTGGATGTTTTTGAGCAAATTAATGTTTGTGTCATCAGCATTGTGTTATTCTCACTTATTATATCAGATGTTTTGATAAGCTAGAAGCTTACAATTATTATTTGATTGTTGCTATATGATACTGATTAAGTATTTATACTTGAAATGTTTTTTCAATAAAAGTAAAAAAATTGCTTACATTCAACAGATATTATACTTCTATTACTACATATCTCTTATAATGAATAGGCTGTAAAATTTTATTTTATAAATTATGTCAATTTTAGAATTTTATATGATTATTTCAAAATATTAATTTTATAGTTAGATGTATGCTGTTTGATTTTGAACATACACTTACATTTTTTACATTAATTTATGTTCATTACTTTCAATCAGTTTATTCATCAATAATCTAAACAAACTCTAAATGAAATAAAATAACTTACTTTTTACTATCATTTTCTTCTTCTGCCAATTCTTTATTTACAGTTTCTCCATTTAGTAATGTTTTTCCTTCCTTTTTAGTATGTAATATTGCAGTTCTATTTGTACCTTTTGATGTTAAACCAAACATTTCCATTTCTATACCTGATTTCTATAATGTATAAATAAAATCCATTAATGTTTATTAAAAAATAATCTAGAAATAGAATTAAAAAATAAATAGAAATTATCATCATGAACATTTTTTCTTCCCAATTTCTTTTACTTTATTTCTCTTAAATTTTGATTGTAGATGTAATTATAAATAAGTGAGAAAAAAAAGTGGGAAATGAATATTTGAAATGCAATAAAACTGCATTAAGCATCAAAAGAACAAAATGGCCATTAAATCACAAAATATTCTTATTGTTTTGTTTCATTCTTGTTGCATTTTATTTTGTGTTATAGTATATTGTACTATATCTAAGGGCTTATCACACAGTCCTCAGATATAATACAATATAGTATAGGCCTAAATAAATAATAAGTGGGCAAGAAGTTAATTACAATCTATTTTATTTGTCAAATAATAATAATAATAACAACAACAACAACAACAGTAAATGCTAAAATAAACAAAAACTTAAACAGAATAAAATTTTTAATGTTGATAACATCCATTAACACGAGTTTGAGAATCAATTGCTCAGTTTCTATTTAATGTAAAAAAGCAAAATGGAGAAAAAAAATCAACAATATACTTCTAAATAGAAACTTTTAAATAATTCTCCAAGAATCATTATAGAGAGAGAAAGAAATTATTGGACACTTATCAAAATGAGAGAATTAAAATTGCATTGGCATGGTGACATTTGATGATAAGGAAGCCGTGCCGGCCCTGGATATAATCATTGGAAGCATTATATGATATTCTGGTGTGTAGCATCCATGAGCTAAGCTGTGTGAGGTTTGTGCTCTGTAAAGCTGTGGTCACACCATGTGATTTCCAGCTGTGCAGGTGACCGCAACTGTAACAAGTGTGTGTTGCACGTGTCTTCTCGTGGTCACACATTATTTGCTGATGTTGCAACTCGGAAACATGTGACCCTATAATAAACCAATAAAATTACGGTAGCTTGTTTTTGACTACTTTCATGAGTTTACTGACATTTTACGTTTTACTTCAAAGTATTTACAGAATTTTAGCCACTTTTCTTATTAAAATGGCAAGTAGTTCCTTTTCTGGAATGAATAAAGAAAAAAGGCAATTATTTTGATAGAGCTGGCGAGAATACACAAAAAGATTAATTCTTCATTTTATCAAAGATTTTAAATCCCACAGATATTCGTGAAGCCCGAATAAGCTCGATCAATCTCAATTCTGTAAAAGTATTAATCCGCTAACTATCCGCCAAGATGATGAACTATTTTCAATATTGTCACCGTATGATGTGGCACAAAGGCATTTGCTGATTGGATGCATGTTTGCAATCGGCGCAAGTATAACAAACTTTTTGTTTCTAGTTGCAATTGCAGTCACGCCAGTTTTCAAAGGGGGTTTTACTAGTTAATGGGAACAGCCGTCACAATTGTAGTTGCCTGCATGGCTGGAAATTGCATGGTGTGACCATGGCTTAAAGCGCATGCACGAATGTGTATAATCTGGCTGCTTTACATGATTCAAATATTTTTGCCATGGAAGCTATCCCATTCTGACACTACAGCATTTCCATTGGGAATATGCATATACAAATATACAACAGCAATCTTATAATTTTTTTTCACATATAGTATAGAAATTTGTAATAAGATATATAATGCAGTTATAATAAAATATTAATTTTAATTAATTCAAAGTATGTTAAAATATGAAAATAATTGCACAATATGTATTTATATTTTAGGAAATACTAGGGCAGAGGTGCTTCCACAGCTTCCATAGACAGTACGTCACTGTAAAATTGGGGGGGGGTAAAATGTCTCTGATAATTTCAGGATAAAACATAATGGCAAATGAATGTTTACAGCATGGATTTTCCACAATTTTTAAGATATAAGTTTAGACAAGTTAATGACAAGCTAACCTACATCTGTTTTCAACTCTTAAACACAGATAACTCATAAGTTATTCATACAAGATTATGGTAAATAAATACATTGTATAAATATTAACTGCATAAGCATGTAATCATAAATTAATTTTAAAAATCACTTATTTTACATCTTTTTATTTTGAATATTTATTTGTTTTGAAATAACAACAGACCAGACATCACACTCATTGACAAACACAATAAAATCACACACATTATAGACATAGCCATTCCAAACACTCACAATGTACAAAACACATGCACTGAAAAAATTAGCAAGTACACAGAACTCGCCCAGGAAATAAGGCATCTGTGGAGGATGGAAAGGGTTTGTACCTGTCGTTCTCTCCTGTACAAGTGTGATACCACACACACTACACAAAAGCCTGGGAACATTACAATTGAATAGAAATACATACATCACACTTCAGAAGGCCACTATATTGAATACATGCCATATTATTAGGAAATTCCTGAATATAGACACTGACACACTTATTTAATTTTAGTTTTGTTTTAGTTGCTATGCCTTGACTCTGGTCTGGCATCAGTGTGAACCGAGTATAACCCACTAAACCCAACATAATAATAGTAATAATAATGCAACTATTTAAAATGAATAACAATTAGAATTATAGTATTTTTTAATTCTTTCTCATTAATATAATTTATCTACTTAAAAAAATTAATAAATAAAAACTTTAAACTTTTTACATTAACATATTTACTAGTGTTGTAACGAATAGTATATTCAGCCTCAGGCCGAATATTCTGCCAAGAGCGTGGCCGAATAGCTGAATATTCGGCCAAACTATTCGGCTTGATTAACGCACGTACGAAAATTGGCGCACAAACCGCATTATGGCAAGGATCCTGCTCTCTATTGGCCCGCTGTCACTACGCTTCGCCAATCGCATTAATTCTTGGCAGCTGTAGCAGACAGACAAGAGCGTCATGGAAGTATATGACAAATAATGATATCAAATGTGGATAACGATGAAATGACCTACAAGTGTAAATAACGAAAAAAGAACAGAGAAGGACCGCAAAGTGAAAATAAATATGAAATTGAGTCGATAACATAATCGAACAAGTCGAGGCAGCTTATTGGCACGAAATTCACAGCCGTCAATGCCAAACAATCGTTGTCATAGACTTCGGAAAGCTAAATGCTTGTAATGAAAGTCACTTAGCGTGCACGGGCGAAAGCCTGGGGCCGTTCGGGCTATTGGGCTGTCTCGAATCTGTGAAATCATAACTGTGACTTACATCGACATCCTGTCTGTCTCTCCTCCGTTATCACCAGACTGAGTCATGTAATTGTAAAATGGAAACGCTACGACGGAAAAGTGACGAATTGAAAGTATCGTGAGCGCGTACTATGATGTATGCACAGGCATACGTGGATTAAAGCGATAGAGGAAAGAGAAAGAAAAGAGCAAAGACGAGCGCTTAAAAAGGATAGGCAGGGTCGGATCCTCAGATGTGCGAGGATTCTCCAACGATAGACGTATACGTGTTCTGATCTTTGTAATTATAAATTGTGAATACATGCAACTAATATTATTTTCTTTTTTATTTTGTGCATGTTACAAGTTATAAATAAATATAAACAAACAACACTAACTCAATAACATTAAATCTAAATACCAAAACGATTAATTTACTGTGTTTTTGTTATTTATTACTCCTATTTTTTGGTATTCGGCCGAATAGTGATTAGATATTCGTTATTCGGCCGAATAGGCCGAATACCGAATAGTAACCGAATATTCGTTACATCACTAATATTTACAGTAAATTTTAATAATACATTTTAGTTCATTTTATTTATATTAATTAAATATTAAACATAAATTATTCTCACCTTAGGTGGTGTAAATGCAAGCTCTTGAGGCAAGTAAGTCTTAACATTACTGTAACTCTTAAGGAAAAAATAATAATATATTTTATTTAATCTAAAAATTTAAAAAATAACTGTCAACAGCAAATAAATTGTTAGTCACTTCAGAAACATTAAATTTACAATAAAATGTATTCAATTCAAAAGTTCATGAAATATATTCTAACTTTATCTTTCTTATATTGTTCTTTCAAATGTTTTTATAAATATTTTAAATTTAATATTAAAGATAAAATTAAATAAAGGTGGAAAAAATGTAATGTACAGGTTAGATGCTGCAAACAAAAATTATTAAAAACATTTAAGTATCAATAAAAAACAAAAACTATTTGAATATTTCCATTAATAATTCTTGTTTTTATATTTATTCTAATAATATATAACTTTTTCAAAATATTTGAAGATATTTGTCTTATTTCATTAAATTCTTCTATATCTCTAGTTTTATTTACATTTATTATATAAAAATTTTTTAAGATTTTATTTTATTTATTTATTTATCTTTCTTTTATTATGTTGATGTAAAATATAAAACATATTAAGTAGTTTGTCCACACCACAGTCCATGTCTGAATGTGCTTGTTTTCATTGCATTATATACAGTTCTTTTTACTATGGCTTGCATTAATTGCTTTATGTAATTGAATACAAAGTTATAAAATTATTTCACATTTCTCAAAACACCAGAGGAGTAAGAATGGTTCTTATTGATTACCATTGAGCTATTTAGTTTTAAAAAATTATAAAATCACTAATAAATTAACTTCTTTTTATAAAATTAAGTAAAAATGTGATAAATTATAGTTTTTGTAAGTATATTAACAAAATTTATAAAAGTAGTCTGATTCAATTATTATTATTATTATTACTTTTTAAAAAATTTTGTTTTGTGCAAGTAGAGTCTAAAACTTAACTGAATTAAATTTAATTTGCTATTTTATTAAATTAACATGATGAATATTTTGGCTTATCACATAGTTCCTGGATGTGCAACTGGCTGAATCATGGAATAATGCAAAAGGCATTGGTTCACATTCTATAATTAAATATATTTTATTTTTTCAAATGAAATACACACAGTATATACTGTACTCTTTATACATCATTCAAATAATTTTATCTTTCTTGTTATGAATATCACTACTTGTGATATTCATAACTTGTGTATTTGCTTCACTTATTTTAACAAAATAAAGATCAAACAGGAATATGAAATCTATTATTATACTTTAATTATATATTTATAAAAAAATAACTTACTTTATCCAAACTTGTAAATAATTTTGATGGCAAAGATGGTTCAACAGGAAAATCTTTTAAAACAAAATTTGTAGTTTTTGATATTACAAGTCCTAGAGCCAGATCACACACTGCATATAATTTCTAGAAATAAATAATAATTCATACATATTGTAATTTTCATTCAATTTCAATTAATATCTTCAACTGTAAACTTTAAAATCAACAGAGGTAATTGATATATTTGTGAAATAGTACTTAAATACATAATCTTTTCTAAAAAAATACCTGTTATTGATTCTTTGGTTCTTTTCTTCTTGTTTTAAATGATCCATATTGAATAAATAGCAATATACATATATATTGAGTGGCCAAAAAATTAGACACACCACTTATTTAAAAGTAAACCAGTCCGAAAGTGACGTAGTGATGTAACAATGCAGAGTTGGTTACATAAGGAACATTCAACTTCGGATGAGATAGTTATCATGGAAGTTAATGGCAAAATGGGTAAGAAGAAAGATTTAAGTGGTTTTGAACAAGGGATAGTTGTCGGTGGAAGAAGAGCTGGTGCGACCATCTCTGAAATAATGACTCTTTCAGATTTTTCTCACCCAACAGGATCTTGGGTGTTTAAGAATGTGACAGTTGAGAAAAAAACTTCAAGTGATAAGGACAATTCTGGTCGAAAAAGGCTGGTGAACAAGAGAGGTGAAAGGCGATTAGCACACATAGTCCTCAGCAACAGAAGGGCAACAACATGACAAATTACAGTTGAATTCAATGCAGGTGCATTACAAAGCATATCCCAATGCACAACAAGACAGACTTTGCAAAGAATAAGCTTTAGCAGCAGGAGACCATCAAGAGTGCCTTTGGTATCACAGAAAAATAGGAAAAGGTTCCTGTTTTGGGTCCAGGAATGATGAAATTGGTCACGTGAGGACTGAAAAAAAAGTAGCCTGGTCTGATGAATCTTGTTTCCTGCTCCATCATGCAGATGGCAGGATCAGAATATGGTGAAAACAGCATGAATTCATGGGCCCCTCCTGCCAAATGACAACTCTTTAGGCTGGAATTATGGTGTGGGGAAGGTTAACCTGCTTCCATGGCCAGCTCAGTCCCTGGACCTCAATCCTATGGAACATTTGTGGGACAAAGTCGAAAGATCACTTCAAAGCCTGGAAACTCCACCATCCAATCTGACCCAACTTAGAGCTGCCATTATGTCAGCATGGGCCAACATTCCTCAGCAATGGTATCAACAACTTGTTGAGTCCATGCCAAGAAGAATATCAGTGTGATCAGAGCGAAAGGTGGACCAACTCGTTATTACAGGGTGTGTCTAAGTTTTTGGCCACTTAGTGTATATAATTATGATATAAGTAATTTTTTCTGCCAATGCTAGCTGTTTGATTTCAAGATAGGTGTCAATTTTTAGGCAACACATAATATCCAAAATCATTTATGTATACTAATTTGCCAGAACAACAAACACGATTTTAACAATATGAAAATGTACTATGACTAGACAATGCTTAATGAGCAGAACACAGATAATATTTTATTCATTAAACTTCAATAAAAATTAAATACAAATGTGCTATCAAGGAGTCTCATAACTTTGTAGTGTTAGCTTATTTAGTGTTTGATGGAGGATCTCTGATGAGTAACAATGATGTTATGCCATATAAACTATATAATCATCAAAAATAAAAATAAATTCTCTTCATGCATCAAAGANCTGTTGTATATAAATTTTTATAATTCTAATAATGATCTCCGTTAAATCATCCTATAAATAATGCAGTACGAAAAATAAAACCATTTTTTGGTTGTTGTCTACCTCCATATTAGACTTACTACACATAATAGGAGTCCAAAATCTCTCTACTTTTGCTTAATTGAAGAAACTTCAAGGAAACAATGAAATGTAGGAAGGAAGGAAATAAATAAAAACTCTAAAAGCACGGTCCATTTCTTCCTTTGATCTAATTCACTCCAGGTTACGTATTCTAGTGTATTATTCTATGTAATTTCTATCTTATTAAATCTCTAACATTCCAATTATAAAATTACATTTAAAAAAAGGATTTAATTGATTTGTGCAGCAGTTAAAATTATTATTACAAAATTTTGAATCTCATTACATTCTTTACTGAAATGAGCAGACATATGTAAGTTTAGTGAATATTTAGAATTTTTTTTTTATACATTACAATAGATGATAATATAGTGTAATAATAAACAAGTTTGAAATATTTTAAAACTGCTTATCAGTAACATATGTCTTGTTTATAAATAAAAAATTACAGACAGTTACTGAACTATATAAGAATGATATGTAGTTTAAATATCTAAAATGTTGTTAATTCTCTGTTCATTCATGATTAATTTGTCAATCTACATCACTTAAACAGAGTGATAAATAACTATAAAATTTATTCATTTTCAAATTACAAATGAGATAATTGCTTTAAATAGGCAAAAAAAAAATTAAAGTATTATCCGAATAAAATTTTTCAAATCTCAAATGTAATCCATAAAATTCATAATTTGGTGTATGTGCTGCTTATTTTTAGTTTTAATGGAAACACAAAAATGTTCACAGATAAGTTTGTATCTTGGCAATAAACTTGAATAATGTGTTTTGATTATTTTATGTTAAAAATATTAGTAATATAAGAACAATACAATTATAAAGTACAGTCCCACAAGCTCAACTTAATGTGGACTGAAAAGGCAATAAGTTACCAAAAATGATAAGTTTGGTTATTCACAACTCAAAATATTAGGGTCAGTCAAATGAAAATGAGATAGATGGGAAAAAAGTAAGTAAACTGTTTATTATTTCAAAAGTAATCGCCATAACTGTTAATACATTTACCCCACTGTGAGACAAGACGGTCAATGCCTTCATAGAAAAATGTTTGATGTTGCCTATGGAACCATGATTGTACCCAGGCATGCACCTTTTCATCCAAAGCAAATTGACGCCCACAAATGTCTTTCTTTGGGTCTCCAAAACTACGGAAATTGCATGGAGAGAAATCAAGACTGTATGGAGGATGTGTAAGGACTTCCCAGCAAAACTTCTGCAGTGTAGTCGAAACAACATTGGTAACATGTGGACAGACATTATTCTGCAACAGAATGATGCTGTCTGTCAACATTCCTGGGCGTTTGGATTTGATGGCATGCTTCAATTTTTGCAAAGTTTCCATGTATCGCTGTGCGTTAATTGTGGCACTGTGTTCCAGAAAGTCAATGAGCAGCAGGCCTCCTTAGTGATGTCGGACGCACACATGACTCGCCGACCTCACTCTGAGCACATCTAACAGACAAACGGCACAGCGGTGAACGTTTACGCTGTTCATTCCTGATTCCTAATGTATTGAGGGCACTTCTATACACACACCTACCTGCATTACCAACTTCCGTGCCACACTCACTTGTTATATAGTCTGTCTCGTTTTCATTTGACTGCCCCTAATACATTACTACAAAGATTTTTAATACATTAATTTATCTATTAAAAATCTTTTACAAAGTATTATATGTGCAAATTCATATACATATTAAACTACATACCAATAGTGACTATTTTCTATTTATAGTTAAATTTTAATTTTAAAAATATTAAGCTTGCAGTGGCTACCTTTGAGTTAGTGACATTCATGTCATAGCATTTTGCAGTAGCACTTTAGGAAAAAAGTTATACTTTTTGTTAACATTTGGAATTGATGCTATTATTAAGTGTTGCCAGTGAAGAATAATAACTTATTTCATCCTAGTGTCAAAGAAGTAAACATTAGATTACATTTTTCTTGAATAACATGATGAGTTTTATGAAATGTCAAGTTATCAAAGTTGCATTTCTGGGACTTTACCGTACTATTATAATGTTTTTAATTATATTGTTATCTGTAATACTAATTGTTATTTATAATGTTTTTATTATATCTGACTTTTTAAAATTAAAAAGAAATAATTCAGAAGAAAATATAATAATTATGCACTGCTGACCAAGCAAAATGCAATACCATGTAGGATGTTTCAATATATATAGTCAATCATGGTGTTGCATTATACTTGGCCAATAGTGTACTTTCTTAAACAGAAATATTATAAATTTCTTACCAAGTTTGCTAAATCATCATCACTTGCTTGCTTATCTTTTGTTTGTTTTATATTTTCTATTAGTCTCTTAAAGAAACTGAAACTGTAGTTTTCATTTTTTGTCATTAAAGGTTCCATTAAAAACCACAAACACCTATAAATAAAATAAATTTAATATATTTAAATTTATCTCATACTAGAATAGTCAGTGTAAATGTTTGAAAGTATAACAGTATTTGTTCCAAGCATATTTTATTGATTCATGATCATTAGTTATTTTGGCTTACCATACATTAAAATATGATTTCGATTTCCTTATCATATGTCATAAATTAAATTATAAGTATACAAGAATCTTCTTATTGTAATCAATTTGGAACTTGCCTGTACAATAATAATAACCAAGTGATAATATTAAGTGAAGTGAATAAAACTACAATTAGTGAAAATTCTGATTTTATTGATGCTGATATTAAAACAATTAAAAATGTACAATAAAAATTAATTAATTATAATTATTATTAATAAAAAGTACTGTAATTCATTCAGTTTATATTTGAAATAAATACCAGCAATTTAAACCATTGCATTGCAAGTACATAACAATTAAAATTGATAAACGTTTGTAGCATTGGTTAAGAGCAATAACTGATGCCAATTACAGTAGACCCCCTATAACGCACGTTCCTATAACATGGCAAAAAAATTACGACAATATTCATATAAAGATGCTAAAAGGGACGCGTAAAACGTCATCGCAGAGGAGCAGCCGAACTACTTTCCGCAGTTCAGCGCCACTCTACGGAGAGTTTAGGTGGGTAAATTGAGTTTACTATTGTCTGTACAGTATTATATATAAATTGTATATAAATTAGGTACTGTACATATAATTATATATTAATTATATATAAATTAGGTACTGTATATATAATTATATATTAACTTAATTTATTGTAACTTTATTATAATTATATATATACTTTCTGCCACCTGGCAACACGCTACGGAGATTTTAGGCTAGTAAGTTCAGTTTATTATCATCTGTACAGTATGTAAATTAGGTACCGTAAGTCTAATACAGCACTAATTTTATACATTTCTTGTGAAAGAAACACTTCTTATTCAACGGCCATAAAAATTATTTATATTAATGATGTCTCCAAAGGTCAAGTTAT